TTCATTATTTACTTTCAAAGTAATATTCATAAAGTGTATTCAATGGAAGTATACCACCAATTACATGTTTAGCTAACAGACTCTATTGTAAATCAAAATCAATAATTCAAATACATTAATCCTGCTGTGGAGTACACTACATGACAATATAATTCCATTTGGTAGTATAATAAAATTCTAAAAGTAGAACTGATAAAATATTTAAATGCATTTTTAAAAAATCACAGTATGCTTTTCAAGCAAGACTGACAGACTTCGATTTTTAAAAATACCTAAATGTAAACCTAAGACACTTTTTAACAAAATAAGCTGCACAAATAAATGAAAAGTAATCATACCTATGGATTGGAAGAATTAAAATGTGTAAAATGGACATTTTACCCAAATTTAGTGAAATCTTTATATTTCTATGGCATTATACAAAGAAATACAGCAAACAGTACTGAAATTTATATGGAATCACAAAAGGCCCTGAAGAGGCAAAGCTATCTAACAAGAAAAAAACAGAGGTTTTATACACCCAGGCTTCAAACTAGACCACAAAAAGCTTTATTAATCAAACCATTATGCAATAAAATAGACATGAAAGTCACTGGATTAATATTAAGAGCCCAGAAATATACCCATACAAGTATGGACAGTTTATTTAAAACAAAGGAATCAAGCACATAAATGGAGAAAGCAAAATATCTTCAGCAAATGGTATTAGAGGTGAGGAGAATATAGCATCAGAGGAGGTCCGTTGCTTTGCTTCTGGGAGGAAAAGCTAAGGTACAATCAAGAGCACTGAAATCTTGAAGATTTTGTAAATATGGGTGAAACTGGAATGCTACCTAATCATTGGAGAACAACACTGATCATGACAGAAGGAACACTGAGGAAATGCAGCTCTGTATCACATACCTAAAAGAAATATTCCAAAAAAAACTGAAAAAGAAATAGAACTAAAAAACTGAGGGCCAAAAGACATACCCACATAAACCAATAATCACCCTAAGTGTAAATCAAAAGAAAAAAGACTGATTGTTTGGGTTAGAGAATGAAATCAAATTTTCTGCCATTTCCAAGATGTGCAATCTAGCTCCAAAGATAAAATAGAATCAGCATAAAAGGTTGGAAAACAATCCTAAAAACAAATGAGACCCAAAGAAAGGCAAGAATAGCCACACTTACATCAGCTATAATAAATTTCCAGCAATAAAGGGTAACAAGTGACAATGATGGGCACTATAACATGATTCAGGAAACAATAAATCAGGAATATATAACAATCATGGATACATATTCACCAAATGCAGGAGCATGTAATAGAGAGAGAGAGAGAGAGAGAGAGAGAGAGAGAGAGAGAGAGAGAGAGAGCGCAACAATTATCACATCTGAAAGACAGTGAGTGATAGCAACAAAATTATGACTAGAGACTTCAATATTCCACTTTCACCAATGGACTAAAGAACCAGGTAGAAAATAAACAAGAAAATAAGATTTAAAAAAGGAATTGGACCGCATGAGTTTAATAGGTATTTATAAGGCAGTAGACACCCAAAACTGAATACATATTATTCTCAACTGCGCATGGGACAATCTCCAGGATAGGCCACATATTGGGTCACTAAGTAACTATCTACTAATTCATGAAAATTGAAGTCATTTCAACTATTTTCAATGGTATCACCTAGAAGGCAAAGAAATTTTTAAAAATTACTTTAAGACAAATGAAAACAAGGACACCACCTGCTAGAACATGTAGGAAAAGCAAAATCAGTAATAAGAGGATCTGTATAGCAATAAAGGCCTACAAGATAAAAAAGCTCAAATAAATAATCTCCCTCACTTTATGAAATTAAAAAGCAAAAAGATGAAAAAGTGAAACCAAAACCCAGTAGAAGAAAAAAATATAAAGCAGAAATAAAAGAAACAGAAATCAAAAAGTCACTCCAAAATATTAGTGGCATCAGAAACTTGCTTCTGAGGGTGAGCGCTCACTCACACTCTAGCATGTGAAAAGAGAGAATGTGACTATTTGCAATCCTGGAAGTGAGCTATTACCAGAAACTGAACTGAACAGCACACCTTGATCTTGAAATCCTATTCTCCAGAAATATGAGAAATAAATTCCTAGTGCTTACATCAAAAATGAATAAATCAATTCAAAAAATGTTTTTTCATGTGTTATTATAAGCTTTCTAAAATAAGCAGCATACCTAAACATTACATTCTATTTATTGTCTTAACTTAGAATGGTTTGTTTTATTAATTACTATGCAAACTGGTTACAAGCTAAAATATGAAGAAAGGATTCACAGAATGTAGATATAATGAAAAAATGTCAGAGAAAGGACTCTTGCCTGATATTGAACAATGTTTTGTTTGTTAAGTAATAATATTAATAACCTATAGCAATTATTTTCAAATATATAGGTTATAATATATTTCTGCTTTGCTCTTATTGTTCATGTTCTTCAACCACATACTTTGATGTGGTAATGGGATGTTGCCTCCAAGTGAAGCACCAGTAAAAGTGAAATCTGTGCAAAGCCTCTTAAACAATCATCACATTTTCTTCCAGTTAAAACTAAGCTCCTTAAAATAATGCAGTTTGAATCCCAAGGGGTAAGATAATGACAACTGATATTTTCTATAACAGTAGTTTTATAACTATTATGATAGGCTCTGATCCCATATGTAGGAATGAAAACTGTTAGTGATAGTCAATATAAAGCAGCTATTTCAAGATACAATGCAAAAAATCTAGAAGATAAATATTTTAAGAAAAGATACATGATGCTTTGTCATAAAAATATAGAGAAACAAAAGTAAAATAGGTATTTTTGAATTGAAAAAATCTCATAGCACCATTTCTAGAATATTGTTCCTTTGATCTTGTTTCTGAGGACAGTCTACTTGGAAGCTGCCCCCTTATAGATATTCCCTCTGATTCATATTTAGTGTTATTCAGTCAAAGGAAGGTCCTTTCCCTGACAGATGATAAATAAGTTTTCACATATATACAGTTTCTATAGCAATATTACTTTGCTTCTCAAGATATTACTTTCTTGGTTAAAAAAGACTATATATGGCTATAAATATTTCACATAATTATCTAGGTCTTCAGGGAGAGGATAAAGAAATAAATGGCATGGTATCACCACCCCTTAGAGGGTTATTAAATCCAGTTCAGGAGTCTAGTCTAACAAATACACACACACACACACATACACACTCCCCAAATAATACAATACAGTTATAAGAAAGTGACAAATATAAGAACTGATATAGAGGCTCTAGAAAAGATGAGCTTAGTATGGTTTGAGTTAGACTTGGAAGTCACTGATGGAGAGGTGTAACTTGAGCTTATCTTTCAAAGTATGTAAGATTTGAAAAGACAGAAGAGAAGGCATCACAACTGAAGGGAGTGATAGTAGTATAAAGAGCCAGGTTCTGGAGGTAGTTTGTTCAGAGGCTATTAAGAGTTGTGCACTGTGGTCTATGAAAACTGCTCATGAAATCTCTGAAATTCAAATGGAAATGGGATTGGAGCAATAGAAAATAGGAAGCCAATAATATTTTGGAGAATTTAAAAAAACGGTTTGAAAGAAGAGTTCATGAACAATTAATCTGCAAGGACGATTAGCAACTTGGAGCAGAGATAAAGGCTGGCGAGGAAGCTCTAGAAGTGACTAGTGCTGATGAAAGTTTACATTTTAGAATAAGGAAAGATAATAGGAGAGGGCTTTCATAGGGAAATTTACCGGATGATAACTTAACTATGAGAAATGGGGGGAAATTCAGATTTTTTTTTTCTGTGAAATAGCCAGGAGTTCCTTATCAAACAGTGAAACAGAATTAATAACACTAAAATTTCCCCAGCAAGGGCAGGCATGCAGGGTTCTCCTCACTATTGCTGAGTAACATAGTCAATGAAGATTTGTACAGGGTCTCTAAAATTAAGATTTCACTTGGTGTTCTCATAGGGACAAAGAGGAAGAAGGATTTAGCACCAAACCTGAGAAGCAGAGAGACATCCCATATAAGAGATCATTGCTAGAAAAAGAAAATGGCAAGAAAGGAAAATGTCTTACACTGAGTCTCTATATTGGAAATTCTTAGTCTTTCCAGAGTTTCACGATCACTGAGTGCATCCCAAGTAAGAGTTCTTCGAAGATAAAAAGTTGAATTAACTTGAATAACTGCTTATGTTTCTCCAAATGTTAGTAATTTCCCTCATATTAGTAATTTCTATTCCACAAATTCCTCTCCATGCTCCTTCCATTATTCCAAACCTGATTCAGTACAGTAAGAATTTGCCTTCCCAAATTCTGGGTCTAGGTATATTCAATAGATCAGATTCACAGTAATCAGCTGATAACTCCACATCTACAGGAGCCTGAAACATCACTACGCTAACTCCCCAACCCTTCTCATTTTCTGCCCAGACAGAGTTTAGCCCCACCCTCTTCAGGAAACGATAAAAACGCTTGCGCGAACTCCAAGCTTATTCCCTCCCGGAACTCTCACCCTTCCCAACCCCCTTCCCCCGCCCCTCCAAGATTTTAATGCGCAGGCGTGGAGCCTTGGTGCGTTTGCGTAGGGCTTTGAGAAATCTAGTGTCCAGTGTAATATAGAAGTAGTAGAATTCACCCCCGCCCAACACACACACACACACACACACACACACACACACTTCTTTCTTCAGCGACAGAAGCACACTGCTTTTTACTCTGGGACAGAAGCGAGATTCAAACGTAACCCTCCGTGGGAGCATGGTCCTAGCTCTCGCTGTGCCCACGGTATCTCTCTATCTTCAGCTCATTTCTAACCTCAAGCTGCCGCCAGCTTTCCATCAGAGGGTAGAGGCAGGTCTCTACCCAAAAGCCGCACGAGTTTATTGGCAATCTCTTTAGGCCTCTGAATCTACCGGCCTCCCATTGGTCAGAGCTCTAGCTCAGTCCCTTGCTCGCCCTCCTTTTCACCCTTCACACCCACAACGGCTGGGTGCTTACCTCGGGTGTGGTGCGGTCACGGGAGGGATCACGAGATCCTAGATCAGGCCAGCGCTGGGGCAGACGGATTCGGCGAGATTTTTCCTGGGTCTCCTCTGCCTTCCCAGACAATGAAATCAGCGTGTCCGATCATCAATTCTCATCATGATCGTGACGTCACAAAAGACAGCGGCCAATAGGAGGCCAAGATCAGCTGAGGACAGTCCCTGGCCTCAGCCCAGAACCCAAGAGTGGGGAGGGGGTGGAGAGATAGCTGCCTGCTGTGGGACCGCTTCTTCCCCACATTTATCACCTGCATCCAAAGCCGCTCTGTGCCTCTCCTTTCTAAAGAGCCATGAAAGCTCAGCATCCCTGTGACTATAATAGTTAAATGTCAGCCATTTGAGCAGGTGCTGCCTGGTCTTCCAACGTGAGGTTCACTTTCAGCAGAATTTTTGCATGCTGCCAAAATCAATCGACCATATACAGAAATAAAACCTTTTGTGGTTAGTGTTAAATTGGCATAAATATTCAGGGTTACTAAAATAAAGGTATTGATAGAACCCTTGAAATTTGTCATAAACCTAGTGTACTTGTTACATGTGACCAAGGCAATAAATTAAAATCATGGGTTCTGTTCACCTAACTCAATCCCTGTTCTACCAGAAATTACTTGAGTGATAACCAAGCATTACTTGAATAATACCGTTACAGGACAAAAACCTCAAGCCCCATGTTTGATTAGCTAACACTCAGTGGATACACTCCAAAAAAGTACTAAATGTCATAAGAGATGTGTACTTCATTGACCATCTGCTAATATAGAACTAACAACATAAGTCATAAAATAAGATTGCACATATTAAGCATTCACAATAGAAAAATAAAGTACATGATCAGATATTGTCATGAACTCAGACTAGAACCACATTCTTTAATGACTGGAGACATCTATGAAGTGAGGATAGTTGGGGAGGTATTCTGTATGATAATTAAAACTTGAGATGGTTCTTAAACACTTGATAAGAAATCCTGAATGCACTCTCTTAAAGGTAAACAACAGGTTAAGATGAGAAGGCATTAATATATACGATCTTAATTGACCCTTGTTGAAATCAGCCTGACAAATAGAGGGCATAAAAGTGTTTGAAAATTTGTTTTTATTAAGAGTCACCAAAGGTCGTAGGGCAGGGTACCTCAACTTTATGTAACCAATGATCTTTAGAGGAGCTCAAGTGATTTTTTAAAACAACAATCAGGTCATGTCCAGTTTCAATGCCCAGATTGTCCAATGGCTTCCATTCACATATACTATGAAATAAAATTTTCTTACCATAACCTCAAAATAATAAATGGTCAGAACTTGGTCCTCTTTCTGGCCTCCATTCAAGCCACAAGATCATCATTAACTCAATTTCAAATCAAACTTGTCTTTTCTCCATTTCGCAAACAAATTAAAGTTCAACAGAAAAGAGAAGACATGAGAAGCTGTGAAGAAAAATAAAATATGGCTATAAGGAGGTATAGGGAGTGTTGAGAAAGTTACAAATTGAGATAGGGTCACACAGAGACATTCTGGTTGGGGGGGGATAGGATCAAAACAGGGGTGGGAAGAGCACACAGGAGTATGGTGATGGCACACGTGTTGAATTGGTGGTGTGAAATCCACCGGGATTACAGAAATGAAAGAGGATACATTGTACAAAAATGAAGAATTATGTAAATATAAATATGTATATATATATTTTTTTAAAAAAGAAGTAGGGTTACAGTTGACCTCTTAAAATGTAAGACATTACTTTTAAAGATATTCTATAAGACATTCTTCAAAATGTAACAAATATATTATTTTTTTGGTTTCAACTATCAGTAAGTCCTGTCTGCTATACCCTAAAATATATTCCAAATCTGAACTCACCTTCCTGATTCCTTCACAACTATACCAGCCAAAGTCACTATCACTTTTAATTTGAAAAAACATCTTACTTGTGCTTCCTGTCATCCACTATAGTCCTTATTTAATATTTTCCCTTCACAGCAATCAAAATATTTTTATAAAGTTGAATCATATCGTATTACTGCTCCCCAGCTTAAGGCCCTCCAAATGCTGTCCACTGTGTTAGCAATAAGCTAATTCTTTTTTTTTTT